GTCTCCTTTACCATGAGCAGGAGGCAGCTTGGGTTCACTCTCCAGTGCTTTGGCCTGGCTGTGGTGTTAAGCTCAGGACCCCAGCCAGTTTCCAGCTTCAGTATTTGCATTCTGCCTTCCTCATCCCCACTACCTATTGCTGCCATTCACTAAAAGAAAACCAAACTACACACAGACCAACCTAGAAGTTGGAGAACTGCTGGCTTCTTGCTGAGAAGTGGGGGCACTGCAATGACAAACGCATTCAGGGGAGTGAATCTTCCTTCAGCCCTGCTCCTTCCCACTGCATGGTGCTTTCCCTGTTTTTCAGATGCTGCCTCCAAGCATGCCACCCAGGCCTTCTTTGATTGCCTACGAGCAGAGGTGGAGCAGTATGACATCGATGTGACAGTTATAAGCCCTGGCTACATTCAGACAAACCTCTCTCTCAATGCTATAACAGCGGATGGATCTCGCTATGGAGGTGAGATATGATTCTGTGCCCTGTATCTAATGCATCTCCACCTCACTGAGTTACTCCAAAGGTGGTGGGGACACAGGGTAGCCCTGAAGCATCAAAAGATATCTCTGGATGCAGGGTAGGAACAGCAACCCCCAAAATTCAGCCTTCCTAGACAGCAACTACTGACTTCTAGCCCAGCCATGCCTTACACCTGCCTGTGCTCCCACACACAGCTGGTGTAAAACCAAAACCATCCAAGCAGCCGTGCACAGTTAGAGTATTCCCAGGAAAGGTGCTCAAGCATGGGCTTACCTGAGGCTTTCCTTTGGCAGTTATGGACAAGAACACCGCGGAAGGACAGACGGCTGCAGAGGTGGCTCAGGTGGTGCTCAATGCAGTGGGACAGAAGAAGAAGGAAGTACTTGTGGCTGGGCTGACGCCCTCCCTGGCTGTCTACCTGCGAAACCTCTGCCCCAGGCTCTTCTTCAGGTTAATGGCAGAGAGAGCAAAAAAGGAGAGAAAAGCAAAGGCCTCTTAGAGCTGAGCTCACTGGAGCAGGGACTGCAGGGAGAGGCTGAGCCCCTGCGCTTCAGCTGGGACATCGGGAGGTGCTCCTGCAGGAAAATCCTGTCTCAGAATGCTGCCGTTTACCACTGCATGGAGAGTGGGAAGCGGGTTCCCCCCACGGCAGGACAGGCCCGTTTGCTGGAAGACAGCACCTACAACTCACCTGGAGAAGGGTGCTTGGACAAAGGGGAGAGCTGAGGCTGCAGCGGAGGCAGCTCAAGGGAACACGTCGCAGCAGGGGATGCTGGAAGACAGCACCTTACCTCACACTCCAGGCTTGCTCAGCTTTACTGGCCTGCTACAAATAAAACCCACCCGTTCTGCCTTCACGCAAGCAGATCTTGTCTTTTCCTACCCCATGGCTCCTGTGAAATACACTCCTCAGCTCACTGTCTCCTTCCCACTCCTTCCACTCTAATCCAGAACCCACTGCTTGAAGTGGGGAACTTCACAGAGCATGCCACATCATCTGATCTGTTCAGCTGAAGTCAAGCCCAGTGCCACTTTTGAAGTAACTGATGTAAAATCTAAGCTTTATTTGGCAGTTACTTGTGTGTATCATGCCTTACTGACATGGTTCAGTCTAACTCTGCACTACCAGACAGCACAGTGTTCACCCCAGCATGAGCTAAAGCAGGGGGAGGACTGGACAGACAGAAACCAGCACAGCAGGACATGCTGCGAGCTGATGGTACTGGTCCCCCTGCAGGAGCAGGTGTGAGTCTGCAGGGACCAGCACACTGTCTCTTGCAAGCAGAGGGTGCATAGGGTGGACAGAATAGGAGACAGACCCTTAGTTCTCATCTGGTGTAAAGCAATCAGGTGCTCATAAGGATCACAGCTGGGGGGGGAATGATACCAGCCCATCACACAGCATAAGCCTCAGGGAGCCTGATGGCCTTAGGGAATGCCATATTCCATTCCTTCCCCTTCTCTTCATGTGAGGGATGCTAGGAAAAGGAGTGGCTGCACAGAGGTAGTTCAAAAAGGATCATTTCTGTCCTTGCTAACTGGTATTTTAGCTAAAGCCTATTAGTGGGAACGAAGGTCCAGACCCCTGTGGCCACCTCCATGCACTTCCCAGCATTTTATGTATCCTGCCTTGTATATCCTGCCTGTGAGTGCACATCGATGACAAATAAATTACATTGCTATGAAATCAATTCTTTGTTCTGCTTCAGCTTCTCACAGCAGGCAATGTTAGAGGAAGGGAAAGCAGGAGAGGTTTGGGTTTCTCCCATTCCTGCAAGGTGCAGGACAACATACTTCATCCCAGCCCTCTTTCCATCAGCTTACAATAGGCATAGTGCAAATCCACACAGAGGATCAGTCACACTGGAACTCAAATACAGGTGTGCAGGCTTAGCAGGAGCTTCTTCAAGAAGTCTTTTCTTTACTACAGGTTTATAACTGATCTCTGAGAATCCATCCCAGCTGATGCCCAGGATGTGCTTAATGACCACAACACTACTACTGCTCAGTTAGGACATCTTCTACTATTCAATATGTGGCTGAGGTTCTAGATTTGTTACCTAAAAGCCTAGGGTTGAAATTACAAGTTGAAGCTTTACCTTCTCTCCTCCTCCACAACAGGTTTCTAAGCATTAGTTGGGCTTTCCTTTCATGTTTTGCACATTCAGGTCCTCCTGCCAGTCCTGTCCAGCTGCTCACTTCTTCTAGGTCATGGCAACCCAAGAAGGACCAAGGGGTTCTCCGTGTCATCATCCAGGGTGCTGAAGGGTACAACACAGGGCCTTAGGAGAAAGATTACACACGGGGAGTTAATTGTACTTACTGTTTGAACCACAGCTCCATCTGAGAGGTTACCAAGAGTGTGCACATTCCCCTTTGGAAGTAAATCCCCTCTCTGTGATGAGAGGCACGTTAACATGCTCCACTTAAGAGCCCCTCCACAACGGCCAGGATGGGCAGCAAACCATGGGGGTGATTTTGCAAAGCTCATCCCCAGCTGTAATTCACAGCTACCAGCAATGGGGGTCAGCAAATACAGCCCCCACCTCATGCAGTGCCCCAAAACACAACCTCAGACCCCTCTTAATACTCCCCCAGCTCACCTTGTGTGGTTCCAGCATTGATTCGCTAACAGCCAGGATGTCACCAAGAACTCTAGCTCCATTAACAGGCCTCCTACCCCATCCACGTCCTCTGTACCTCAGCATGGAGCAAAGGGCGAGTTCTTAAACCAGACCTACCTGTTGTGACAGCTGAGCTGACTTCACCTTCCCTCCTGCAGTAAAACACCACAGGGAACTTGCCCATTCTTAACTCCAGAGTCTTTGCTGCAAGCCAGGCAGTTCAGGAGCCTGCTGAGGGTCAGTCCTTCTGCCATAGCCATCATTCCAGGCAAGGAAAAGCATAGCACAAGAAAGAGGCAGGACCACAGGGGTTTGGTGAAGAGAAGGAACTAACCCTGACAGTTATCCTGGATTAAAACAAAGAGCAGGAATGCCTTTGGTGTGGCCAGCACAAGGGGATTTCAGTAGTAAAGCACATATCAGCTACGGCAGCTCTGCCACTCGATTAGACTCCATCCAGTAGACAGCACTTCAAACGTCAGTCTGAAGGGGCAGCCTGCCCAGCAGACTTGGCCTAACCACAGGAAGATGAAGTAGCTGCATTTCTTCCCCTCCTCTCTGCCAAGGCAACTGTACATTGTCACTATAAATAGAGATGAGCTGGATCCCTACTTCTTTTAACCTTGGAGGGAGACAACTCAGCCACTGTACCAGCAAAGGGCTGTTGCCACCTAGGAACATCTGGATGCCACTGGTGTTTCCTCTCAGCCATGTGCCTGCTGAGGTTTGGCTGCCTCAGGGGTAGAAGCACATGGTCAGGACTCCCAGCAAACCCAGTCTGCCCAGCACACACACTGGGACGGGTGCCCTGCTGACACAAAAGCCACATCAGCAGCAAAGCACGAGCTGGAAGCATGGCCAGAAATGCTCACTGCAGCCTGGAGGCCAGGAGGATGCCTCAGTGCCTGCTGCTGCAGATAGGGAAGATAAAGACAGGGCTACTGAATGTGGGGTTTTGACCTCATGAGACTGCTTTCCAAGGTCAGTGCCTCACGGTGGAGGTCAGGCTCCAAGCAAGCAGGACGCCTGTGTGCAGGCAGGTTTTATTACAGGGCTTTGCTCTTGTATTCACATCGTAACACTTGAAGCTGTGCCAAGCTGGCCTTGGAAGCGCAAACCACGCCTGGTTTCCATGTGGGAGGAGGAGGTTATAGGCAGCAGGCCCCTAGCTTTTGAAAGGAACTGGCAAAACCAGTAAGTATTTCCAATTCTAAGAAGAAGATTTTGACGGTTCTGAGCTAAAAGATGAATTAATGCACAAGAGTGGAACCTAATATTCCAAGTAACAGAGTTACAAGACACAAGCACATGGATCATTGCAGCAGCAGCAGCAGCTCCGTAAGTGCACGTTCCAAGCGGAAGCAGTGGAATTGCAAAGTAAGGGCGCAGCCCCCAAGGGTCAGCACATAACAAAGCACAAGGGTGAGAGCCCAACTCCCACCTTAGCAGTGCTCAGCTGCACAGGAGAGACGGATCCACGTTAGGAAGAACATGAACAAGAGCTGAGCAGGATGAGTTTGTAGCTGGAAACTCAGTGTTCTCTCCACTGTGTGGAGCAGTAACAGCTGGAGGAGAGCAGCAGAGGATTTGGAGCCCTTTAGCCCCAGCCATCAGTATTTAAGCAATTGCCAAAAGGATGTAAGCACTGGGGTACCAAGTTAGCCTCTTCCAAGAAACACAACTAGTCAAGCAAGAGGGAAAGCAACACTACAACAGCTACTCCTTCAACAGATGGAGATTGTCCATGGACACCACTGCCATGGGGCCAAAGGGAGCATCAGGTCTGTGTGTGAGCACAGATAATCAATCATCACCACTGGCATCCTCACAGCAAAGTCTCCATCCCCTGCAAGGAAAAGGAACTACGATACCAGTAACAAGAGAGCAAAAAGCAGTTGAAATTCTCATCCTTTAATGGTCAATGATAACTTCTGTCTGGTTCTGTGTAATACAATTAAACAAGATACTTAAATGTTTCCCCCCCCCAAAAATAATAAAGAAGTAGAAGAAGCTCTCACACCCCCTCTTCCTATAGCTCACTTTCGACATGCTGCTGCTGGATTGGACTCCCATCGCCTAACATACAGCTCTCAAGTCACCACACATCCACACCTTAAGTGTAACTGAGAAGAACTGAAAAACCTCGGTGCACCAGTGATGTGTTATTTGAAAAATAACATCTCTTATGAAACCAAATCCTTTCCCAGTCTCCAACTGCTTCTCAAAAAAGAGGAAAAACAAAATGTTACTGCGGGAGTCTTAATACACTTTGTCTTTGTGGGTTTCTCTCTTCCCTGCTGGAGTCATACAGCATAGAGTTCGTAGATCTTCTTTACACAGTACACCAGGGCAGCGAGTGCTATCGTGTTGTGCAGTCTCTTTCTGTGCAGGTCGTCCTTCCTCACCAGCACCACCGGGGTGGAGGAGGTGAGCGTATGCAGGGGCAGGCGGGAAAGTTTATAGGCATCGTACTCTACTTGGTACTTGCAACAGGGATCAAATTGCCAAGAGATGCCATAAAGGGTGCAGCAAGCCACGCTCAGCACACCAGCAGGCAGGGAGATGTAGTGAGAATAATCTACTGGAAGGGCCAGAGGGGTGAAGAGGCAAGTGGTACCCGCCAGCACGGCCGTCTTGTGCAGGCAGTTCCCCACCGTGATCCAGCGCGCGGTCTCGTCCCCGATGCGGGTGGGCTCTATCACTATGTATTTGTACTGGGCTTCCAGGGCCTGCTCCAGCTCGTACTCAAACTGGTCCTGAGCGTTCTCTCCGTTGTAGATCTCATGCACGATGTAACAGTCCGTGGAGGACAAGGTGACCCTGTTAATAGGAAACACGGAATTAAAACTACAGGGCTTCTAGTCAGGAGAAACATCCCAAAGTGAGGATGGGCAGCCCCTCGAGGTCAGGCACTGCCTCTGTTCCACAACAAGCAGCTTTTAAACTCGCCTCATTTCACATCAGCTGATTATGCCTGCTGTACATGAAGTCACCCCAACATAAGGCAGAGTATTTTTTCCTTGCCTTTACCTAACTTGGAGGAGGGAGAACATTGAGAAAACAGGATGTTGTCAACAGTCCTGACATGGTTCCTTACACTGGTACCCCATCGGCTTCTCTGATGCAGAGATGCTGGAGTGTCACCTTAGTGACCACACACATCAACCACTCAACCACCCAGACCTGAGGAGTTTTCATAGGAAATAAGACTGGCAGCAGGAAATAAGACTGATGCACTTGATGGGTGCCTCAGGAGGTCAAATTAAAGAGAGAAAGCACCTTCCAATGAGCATTTGCTTCCCCATCACAATAACTACCTCCTTGCCACTGATGCAGCTTGCTATTTAGTCCTCCACAGTAAATCCAACCTAGTAAATCCATAGTAAACCTTCACAAGGGTGGCCAAGAAGCATTCCTGGAAGTGAAGGTGAAAAAGGTAGCAGAGCACCCTGTTACGGAATGGTTCATTCCCTCTCCTGAAACAGGACACAACAAAGCAAGACAGGAAGATGTTTTTAACCCAGGCAGGCTTTGCCAGTGCAGAAAGAGCTGCTCGCTTCACCTCAGAGCACACTCCTACTGACAGAGCATTCACAAGGCCCCATCTGAGCTGCAGCTTTTAGCTACCTGAAGGCACATCAGTTCCCACCTTCCCTCCACCCTCCTCACACATCGCCTTTGCTGCAGCTACATTCATGTGACAGACTGCTAAGGAACAGGCTGGTGACTGTTTACCTGCGCTGGGAAAGAACAAAACCCCATCCATGAGGAGGCAAAATCCTTCCTTTTAAGAGAGGAAATAATTATTCCTGACAGACTTGTGCTTAACCAGAGCATGCGGCCTCTCCAGGATAAAAATATCCAGCAGATTCCTTCAGCAGGAGGAGAACAAATCCTGCAGCAGACAAAACATCTCATCCCAACCACACTGAGACCCTCTCCATACCAAGAGGCAGGACTCTGCTGAGAGGGAGACTGAAACCACCACTTTTTACTCCATTAGTACAATGGCACTTGTGTGCACACGCTGGAAAATAAGGGAGGAAAACCCACATTCACAAGCTGCTGTGTTAGACGTTACCCTTAATATGCAGCTCCATTCACGCTGCACAGGGTGTTGTGCAGTGGGCAACTGTAATCAAGGCTATTAGTAAATTACAAGCTGTTGCCAAAAGAAGCTGCTTGTGTGAGGAGCAGCAAACACATCAAGCAGCAGGACCTGAGCTGCACCAGCCTCTCAAAGCAAAGGAATAAGCAGTTTCGTTAGCAGTCTGCCTGGAATTCATATAAACCACAAGGAAAACTCAACTGACAAGCCAGCTATTGAGGTCTCTGCAGTGCATTTCCCCCTTGGCATGTTCATGGGTAGAAAGGAGAATAAAACTCCACTGGAATGCTGTGTATGTGTACGCCAGGGGCTTCTTTAAGGCAGATATTGGTTGGAAAATAAGGATTAACTCTTTCAGCACAGGATTTGGGGAGCTCTGAGGTTCTGCAGTGAATTGGAAAGTGTTTTAAGGACGAATAATGAAGCACCTATATAGAGTTCTACACGTCTAATAGAACTGAATGCATCAGCTAACACAAAGGTGGTTAACCAAGAACTACTTAACCAAGTTACACTGATACATTAAGAACAGAACTGCTAAATGGGTTTTGCCAAGGGTTTTCTTTCCTTGATGACAACTGTCCCAAATGCAGCTTCTTCCAAATCAAACTCCAGTTTCATTACAGCCAAGACTTCAGGTAACTGTAAATCAACACCAGTGACTGTGTGAAACCACTTGCTAAGGCCTAATGAATGACTTCAGGGCAAAGCTATTGCTGAAAAGCATTTTGAAGCTGGAAGCTGACCCAGTGCTAACACAACCCCCCAGATAAAATTCCCATTTCCTACCAAGGAGGATTTTCAGTGTTCTGTAACACACAGGAACATGCAGAGAAGCAGCATCCAAATTGAACTAAGAACTCTGCAGGGGCTTAGCACAACAGTCTAATCACCCTGGGGTCTTCTCCCTGTTATCAGTGGCAAAACAAGGGTGAAGCAAGCCCATTTCATCCCTGCCTGTATAGAGCCATGGAGAACTGGGTTTCTAACTCTACGAATCAAGTAACTGCATTGCATGAGGTTTCTCCAGGCTCACTGGAGGCACTAACCCATCAGCCTCGTTTCCCCTTGCTCACATCTTGCCTGGTTTCCCCTCTGAACACCCCTTTCTTTCCTTTCACTGGGATGTACAGGCAGAGCCAGACCACGAGCCACAACAACCTGTCAAAGAGAGCAGGAATCCAACAGGCTTTAGCCAGAGGCAGTACTGTCCATCTCTTCTGGAATCTTTTGGCTCTGGGGCTTTGTAACGATAAAGTCAAGAAAAGCACAATCCTCCTAAGCCAAAACAAGCAGAACTTAAAATAAGCTCTATTGAAAGCAAAAAATCACTGGGCACTGTACAAAGGCTTCAGCCATGATAGTGTGGCCCCCAAACTAGGCTGCTTCTCCAAATCACTCCTCTAATATCAAACCCAATCTCCATCACAGTGCTGAAGCTGCAAATGTGCAATCCAAAACCAACAGAGAGAGCATGAAAAACGAGCTGCCCAAACAATAGGACACATGAAGAGTCAGCAGCACAAGCAGAAAAGCTCCAGTTCCGTAACAGGGGGAAGTGGGGTTCAGCACGTACTATTGCCATGCAAGAACTGGCTGCCTGAGAGGATGGAAAGCTGGAGACTAATATAGAAAGAGACACAGATGAGATGTGTGGGCCTGGGAAGGTTCTGGACCTCGTTGGCATGCAGAGAAGGACCCAGGACTTCAATCCCAGCAGCAATCTCTCCTGACACAGCTTTTCAATTGAAGCCAGCAGCTGCACATGAACAAACCCAGTGAAAGCAATGGGATTTGCTGGAATGCTGGAGGCTTTTGCCTTTTGGAGCTTGTCCCCCACCCCCAGAGATGGGAAACAAAAGCGCAGAGCTATGCAGGAACTCCAGGCTGGCATCCCCCCCGTTGTGAAGTGTGGTGATTTTATAGCAGCTCCATTTTACATAGTAAATAACCAGTGACAGAGAGGGCCTAGCTCCAGGAGCCACAAAATGCTGTACCCAATGCAGAAACCCAATGTGCTATTTCCTACACCGACAAAACCTAAAAGCAGTTGTTAATTATTCAACCAGATTATTTTCCAGGACCTGTCTCCCCACCCCAAATAAAAAGGGCCAAGTTACGAAGTTGTACAGCTTCTCTGTAAGAACGGTTCCAGACCTTATATCCATATGGTTTATTCTGTTGCAGCTTCCTGCATTCTAGGCTTGCAAAGCAAGATGAAAACCATTCAAAATCCCTGCTGTCAGATTTGGTATTGCCAAAGTTATTTATAAGGGATGGGTTGTTAACGGAGCTACCACCAGCAGGAGGGGCAGAAGTGTCTGTTCAGCTATAGGGCAAGCTTCAAATTACGTGTGGATTAGCTTCCTAACATGGGAATATCCAGAGCACCAAGAGAGAGGTGCTGCAGCTGCCTGCAAACAGCCACTCCAGCAGTTTCCCAGTTGCAGGCCTCAAAGCAGCTCCATTTCTCTGCCTTCAGCTTGGGAGCAGTGTCCTGAGCTGCCTCCTGCAAACAGCAGCCTGCCTGTTAATTCTAAGTTTCAATTAGGTAGTTTTATGGGTGAAGAAATAAATACTCTTGTAAGGAGGAGCCACAGTGCTGCTCAATGTGTAAAAGCATTTGCCAGGTGCCAAGTGGCAAAAAGAGAAAGGAAGAGAGTGCTGAGAACAGGGTAGATGACAACATCCTTCATCCTTCTACTGTCCACTTGCAGGGGAGAAGGACTGAGCTGTTGCCCTCAGCCTAATGGTGTTCCTCAATCCACCAGAGAGCCTTTTGGTGAGGGTTTCCTGTTGTCCAGCTATCTCAGTTCTGCAAAGTGTTGAGAAGCATGATTAGAAGCAGTCTCTCCCTGCGCAAAGCACGGGTTCTAAGCATAAGCAGTTCTTTTTAAACCCCTCCCATAATATGCAGGACAAGTTTTGTTCCTGGACAGCAGTACTGCTGAGAGCACCAAACACACATTGAGATTAACAGCAAATGATTAGTAGTTAGAAAAATAAGGAAGGAGAGGCTTGCAGCAGTGTGATAACAACTGTCACAAGCAGCACAAGCAATCTCATCTAGCAATGCAGCAGTGGAACTTCATGTTGCTGTGCAAGTGAACTGCAGCAAAAGGACGTTACAGATGGCCAAAGCAGTGTCTGGGGTCATTCTTAGCATCTCTGCCAAGCTTGATTAAGTCAATAAAGTCAAGACATGACAAATACAAACACTAAAACTCCCCTCCTCCCACGTAAATCCTTCTTGAAACTTAATTTCATCCCAAGAATAAGGAATGAGCTGTGGTCTGGCTTTAATTCTCAGGGGAAATACTCCACCTTATATTCAACTGTATTTGGCTACTCAGGAGAGCTCCAGGATATGGTGCACAGAAAATACTGACCCATCCAAGCTTAAACACATGAAGAATTGTTTCTCTGCTCAGTGTCCACATAATCTACCAGTCTCAGGCCATTAGCCACGGCTGTCAGGCCTAGGAGGCTGTTCTCAACAGGCTGTCACTGCATGCATTAAAGCAGAGGAAGAACAGGAAAAGCACAGCAATAAAGCAAGACTTGTGCTCAAAAGATGAGCTTTAAACACAAACGGGGAAAGAAAGAACAGGGGAACATAGGTGAGATCTTCAAGCAGCCTCAGTAAGGGAAGACAACATGAAGGAAAACATCACCAGAGCACAGCAAACCACTCCAGCCATGAGACAAAAAGGAGGTGTCAATTTTAAGTCAATTAATGATTAGCCAGACTAATGGAAACAGGTCAATCATTGCTGTAAGCAAACAGAGTACCAGAAAACTGAGCAGTGCAGGTAGCAACAGCAGAGCCCTCTTTAAGGGCACAGAGAAGCCAATGCAAGCAGCAGGGAGGACATTAAAGCTGCTCTTTCTGGAGTTCGTTAGCACATCACCCAGGGGAACAAATGCCATTCTGTCTTTTGCCCTGGCGGGCATCGTGCTGAATGTCATACAAAAAACACTAAACACAATTCAGTGCCTGTTCTGTACAGAAAAGGTTGTTTTGGTCTAGAGATGAACAACTGCCTTTAGTCAGGCTCCATTAAAGAGTCTATCCAGAATGAAGAAAACCAAATATTTAGCTGGTTCTCTTCAATGTTTTGGGTTATTTTCACTGCACTATTTCAGCAGCAGCTGGGCTTCACAGCAACATCCTTTGAAATTCATGTCCTTACATTGACTCCTATTGAGGAAAGGACTTCTGGACCAACCACTGACTTCTTTCTCTCAATAAAGTCCTTTATGAAGGGATACCGTCTCCACAGATAGAGCTGCTGCGCTGTTTGGGCTGGGGTATTTTTAAACGAAGGCTGGGCCGCTCTAACAGCACACAGGATTTTATTCACTGCTGAGTCTCCTCAGAGCACCTCCCAACACACAGATGCCTTTCAGACTCGCTGGCTGACAACTCTAAAACCTCCTTGAAGCAGCTCATTTAGGAGGAAAGCTGGATTAGCATATTCAGTTCAAAGGAACGTGTGTCTTTGGACAAGAACCCTGCCCAGAGTGAGGGAACTGCATTCACCATATAAAAAACACATGTCATCAAAGGCTGACATCAGGCCTGCCAGCACTGATGCACAACTCGAGGTGCCAGCAGCCAGATGAGATCAGGAGGTGTGATTTAGGATGGTGGAGAGGGGAAGAGGCCCAGGCATGTGCATCTCCACCTCTGCAGCTGCAAGGAAGAAGTAGCACGAGGCTGATATCACCCAGCAACTATTGCAACTATGATCTTCCATCACATCCATGCAGGATGACACCGACAAGAACCATCATCTTTTGATGGGGATTGTGACACACGGGCCGATGGGGCATGTGTTGTTTCATGTCACTTCTGTGCTTTCTCATACTTTGCTATATACTGATTGGGAAAGGAAAACTAATACAAGTTTATGATTAAGTGGTTTTGATTATAAGATCAAGAGTAATCACAGCTTAAAAGAGTCACCTCCAACTGCACTTAGATTACTATATGATTCACAGATGAAGTTCCAAAGTAACAACTCACTCTTAAGTCAGCATCGATTCTCATTGAGGTTATTAAGTGCTCTTTTCCATCCTATTTTCCCCCTTCACTTCTATTGGGAGGTCAGGCCTACCACAAGGAAAACCCACATGGAAACTCCACACCTCATGGGCTTCAGCCAGCACTGGGTGCAGGCAGCTTCACCACGATGCCACTGAGCCCTGTGGCATCCCGAGTCGTTGTATATAAACTCCGCTGATGCAGTAATTCCGTTGGCTCTTCCAGTTCAATTACTTTTGAATTCCCTGAACGCACCCCGCATTCCCGCAACTCACATCAGCGCCAGGGTTTTAAGGGCTGCTTGTGGCTCTCCTTGGCTACACCATCAAATAGAACAGCGTTGAGTTACAGCAAGAGAACAAAAGGAAGCAAAAGCCAAGGCTGAAATGAAGGGATAGATCAGAGTGTCTCGGTAAGGCGGGAGGACAAAGGAAAACTCACACTAAAAAACGGCAGCCGCTTGTTACATCAGTCAGCCCTGGGGCAAAACAGGGAAAACGCCAACGTAAGGAAACGCAGGCTTTAACCAGACGGTTTAAGGAGGTAAAGAACCGTGCACACCGATTTTAAAGCAGCTCAACAAGATTTTCCTCTGCTTCTTCCCCCCCCCCCTTCCCCGTTTTAAAGCTAACGACTCCCAAACTTCCACAGCTGCTCTATGGGAAGCTCCCGCACGTCCCAAGCCGCTCCTCTCCATCCCGACAGGGGCAAAGCCACAGCGTTACCGAGCCCTGCGAACGCCCAGGCCGCAACCGCGCCTTTCCCCACGGCTCGGGGGTCTCGGCGGCTCCGCACTGAACCCCGCAAACGGCCGGGACCGCGGCGGCAGGAGGTCACCCTGGAGGACTCCTCGCTGCCCTTACGGCCTTTATAAATAGCCGCCGAAGGAGCCTCCCCGGGGCTGGCCCTCCTCCACCCGGCCCCGAGCGCCGCATCCCCGCCGGCGGGAAGGGCTGCCACCGCCACCCCGCGGGCCGCGCTGACCTTCCCTTCGCTTCCCTTCCCTTCGCTTCCCGGTTCTCCCCGCCCGCAGCGGGAGAGCGCTGGACCCAGCGAGCTCCACGCCTCAGCCCCACACGCAGCCGGGCCGCGTCCCCTCACACGCACCCTGCCCGGCCACGCTCCCCTCAGCGAGGCCCCCGCCCTTGCCCCGGGGTCGCGGGGAGCCCCGCGTGGCTGCAGCCCGCCTCGTCCCGCTCGCTGCCCGCCCGAGGAGCCCCGGCAGCGCCGCAGCCTCGGCCCCAGCGGCGGCTCACCTCTCCCGGCCGCCACCGCTGTTGGTGCTGCCGGGGCCAGCGCGCCTCCTTCCCCACGCCGCCATCTTGGACACACTCGACTCGCAAATGTCGCCGCCAAGAGACCCCGGGCCTACCGCAAGGCCCGACGGGAAATGTAGTGCGCGGAGCCCGCCGGAACCGCTCAGACGGCGGGGGACGAGCCTCGCTGAGGACTACAAGTCCCACAGTGCCCCGCGCCAGAACCCCCCGCGGGGGCTCCTGGGAGGTGTAGTCCCCTCGGCTGGGGGGGAGCGTGGTGGAGGGGGGGATCCCCTCAGCGCGGCCCGGCGGTGGCGGCGGCAGCGGGGCCTCATCGCCCTCCGCCCTGCCCCTTCCGCTGCCGCGTCCCAACCGGAGCTCCCCGGTGTGTCCCGGCCTGCCCCGCGGCCCCACCAGGAACGGGGGTGAAGCCTCCGCCGCGGGTGAGGCGCCCCGGGCCGGGTGGTGGCGGTGTGAGGGAGCGCGGCCTTGTTCTGCTGCTCGGAAGGAAGCGGTACCCGGTCTAGTGCTCGCAGGCGGAGCGGGAGTGGAGAAGCTCTTCCGAGCAGCGACGGGAAAGAGCCTGGGCTTTGCTGGGGTGAATTTATCCCCGTCCTGACAGAGGGGCAGGGAATGGGTTGGCTCCGCTGCGGCGCCTGTGAGGGGCAATAACAGTTTGTAGCCAAATGCCTCATTAGAAAGCGCGGTGCAGGTTTCCCGGCTCCCATCCATCCAGCAACAGTGGATGCTGAGGGGTTTGGGGGTGTTCCAGGTGCCCCCCCAACGGCCTCCAGCGCTGAGGCCATTCCCAGCACAGCCGGGTCACCCGAGTGGTGCTTGGATGCTTATCTCCAGTATCCTTGTGCTGCTCCAGGGCCCCCTATGGCTCCTCCCTGGAGAAAAGGAGCCTTTTTCTCTGGAATTCATTTTTCCATTGCAACGAACAGCTCCCTGATCCATAACCTCCCCTCTGTTGGAGATAAACCTTGCTACCAGCTGTCCCCAGCACCCATCAGAGCACAGCCCTCCCTTTATCCTAAGCACCCATCAGCAGGGAACGGCATCTCCCATCCCTAGAAAAAGCCTCTTTTTACCAACATCGTTCCCAAGCGATGTCACGTAACCAAAGAGAACAAAGGGAATGGCTGCTCACACCGTCCCCCGGCATCCCAAGGATTCCCTCCAGCACCCCTGGTTTGTCAGCCAGAACTCGGGGTCCGGCTCTTTTCGGTGGAGGTAGATGCTCCGTTTGCACTAAGAAGAGACATTTGGGAAGCGTGCCCAGCCTGGCATTGCTGGGACAGGCTGGAGCTTCGGATCGTCTGGAATGTGGAATGCAAACAGAGCGTGTTACCAGCAACAGCCCGGCTTGCTGCTAGAACCCAAACCTACCGCGCTGTCCCTTGGGAGCAGCAAACCCCACGCTCCTGCCTGCTCTCATTGCAGCCCAAGGGACGCTTGTCACTTGTCAGGTTGGATGAGAGTGTGACTGTAAATCAGCTGTGGCCTTTCTCCTCACTCCAGCCCTGTTTTTAGCCATTGGAACTCCAGGCTCAGCCTCTGTAGCTTTAGGAAGTGACAGAAACACGCTATGATGGGAGCTCACTGCATTCCCAAGGCCCAGCAGGGAAGCACCGTGTGTTCTCTTGCTCTGGCCAAGCACAGCAGGGAATGACTCCATCGGCTGCTTATTAAGGTGTTTTCATCCCTTAATGCTTTCAAACACCTTAAACCAGTGAACACAAGCATTGAGTGGCTGCTCAGCAGAGGATAACACCCAAGGACTGGCCTGAAATCTCAAGGCAGGACTGAGGAGTGTGAGCAGGGCTGGATCTGCTGGTAAAGGAGAGGAACCAGTTGTGGTCCCACTCACTCTTACGCTCTATGCACTCATTGCAGCCAGCCCTATGACCTGAAATAAAGTCCTATTGCTTCAGCGCATGGTTCCCTGTTTATCTGCAGTGGGAACATCACCTAGGATCTGGCTCCAAGGTGCTCCATGCTGGGAGATGGGTTGATGCAGGTAGCATCCAGGTTAGGTGATGAAGATACAAGTGGCCAGCTGCAGCCACAGGGAGCTGTGGCCAACGCCAGCCCTGGGACCACGACTCCTTCGTCCTGAACCTAGCAAGGGTCTTATGGACCCTCCATCATCCTCACCTCTTGGATGGGGTTCTCCTTGCACGAGATCCTCCTCCTCATGAGGGAGAGAAATAGCATTTGCTGGAGGAGAAGGGTAAGCAGGAGGAAAGGAGCTGGTAAGTGCATCAATGTGCAGATCTGCCAACTTGTGTCTTTTACTGTCACCTTCTCCTGACAGATGCATGGCAGCTACTCTCAAGAAATTTAGGGTTAGATCTGTTAGAATACATGGGTTTTTTTTGGAGGGATGAGGAAAATACTATTTACCTTTATGTAGAAAATGCATGTGCAGCAAAAACCATACCCTGGCCATGGACTGGAGAGCAGAGTTGTGTGCCAGGACCTGTCAAACAGGCTCTGTGTCCAAGTGACCCAGCCCATGGTGACAGAGCTGGGGACACCCACTGTGCCGGGTTCTGCAGCACTTCCTCCTGCTTCCCCCCCCCCTCCCTGGTGCAGCAGAGGGAAGCACTGCAGGGCAGTTAAGCCACACTTTTTATTGTATTGTATTCCATGCATTATGTTCATGTTTTATAGTATGACAGAGGGGAGGGAGGAAGATAAATGTTAGACAGAAAGAAAAGCAGAAAGGTCGTTTGTAACAGGTCCTGAGAAGGAAAGGCACATCGTAACCACCGAATTCAACAGAATGGAGACCTTGGACAAAGGAAGACAACGCTGGGAAGTGGGTGAGGGAAGGGGTGTTTCAAGTTGGGTGGTGTGGAAGCACGTTGGACAGCAATCTGCACCTCCCCACCCACCCAGGTCTATAGTTCAAATGGATCCGGGGAACCTCGCTATGCAACCAAACCACTTCCACACTCCTGTTGCCAGAGAGAGTCCAAGATCCCCAACTCCTCCAGACTTAGTGAGCACCAAGGGGCAGCACAGGACTCATAGCTCCTTCCTGCAGAGGCCAGCTGGAGGGGCAGGGCTGCCCAACACCAAGACCCCGAGCCATCTCCTTCCTGGCAAGGCCAGATCTCAGGAGCACCATGGACCGCAGCATCGCTGGTGACCTGTGGGTATTGCTATTTATCATCAGAGACCACAGGGAAGGGAAGACCAGGGCAGAGGATGGGTACAGCAGTGAAACTGTTGGCACGGACACTGGCACACGTCTCCGTCAGGTCACACACCGGAGGGATTGTAGCACCTTGAAGGGAAGCAGCAGCGAGACCGTGTGCTGAGCCTGATTTAAGGCAGCTGCTTGTGATCCAGCGCTGGGAAGCATGAGATTCCTGTCAGAGCAGCATGAAGGGCTCCAGAGCCAAGCTGGGATGCTGGGATACTGCAGCAACCACAGCACACCCTCTGCTCTCATGCAGCTGATGCAATGGTACTTCTGGAACTGTCACACAGTGGAAGCGAGCACAAAACCAGGGCAGAGGCTTGCGGCACTGGGCTCACGCTATTGCTCCCATGAGGCAGCCAGGCACACATCTCTTCCAAGCGCCCAGCCCCACTGTGATAACGATACAACAGTGTCTTATCTTGGCTTGCAAGAGAGGACATGGTTCAGCTTCACCTTGAGATCAAGAGCAGGGATGGCTCTGTCATTGCTTGCTGTGACAGAGCCAGCCTTGCTCCTGTAACTGCATGTTGAAGTGTTTTTTGCATATGAAAGAGTGAATATTTAGCAGCCCAGATTTCTTCTTGAGCCCTTTTAACTCATTACCTGCAACCCTTTCCCAGTCCCTCTAAGCCACCCTGAAAGTCACATCCTGGCTGAAATAAGCAGCAAGAGGGCAGAAACGTGAGGCAGTGGCAGGGCTGAGCCCAATGCCTTTCCTGAGCAGCTCAAGCTGGAGATGGGTCTGCTTGATGGACACAGGCTGTGTTATATTGGTGGTGGGCAGCCCAAAAGCAGAGGCAGGCAGCCTCAAGCCAGAAGGAACAGGGCTGGAACAGCTCAGGGCCGAGATCAGGCACAGGGTTTCCATCTCTGACCAATGCAACCAGGGTGTAGGAGCTTTTGCCTTTGCTGCCATGGGCTTGGTGCTGGGCACTGGGAGAGGGCTGAGCTGCCTCCTGGCCTGGGCTTCATTCAGTGCGTGGCACAGAGTGTAAACTTTAGTCCCTTCTGAGAGATAAGCTGGGGCTGGATTTGACCTCCAGGTGAAAGGCTCCTTATCTGCTTCTGTCTGAGGCTGCCGAGCGCAGGTGTCCCCATCACAGCCCAGCCCTGGGATCAAGGGGAGATGCTCTGGGGTGTAACTCAGGCCCCGGCAAGCCTGGGCAAGGCAGCAGAGGCAGGAAGCCAGAAGCAGGCAGTGCCATCACAGTGTTACCTCTACATCCAACTGCGGCAATGCTGAGCTGTGCTACAGGGTCATCATCTGTGGAGGTAACAGCACAAGGGTGTTCCTGCTGCTGGCTGAGCACCCTGGGCTTGGAGCTGTGTGGGGGGCAGTGAGCAGGCAGGTAATGCCCTGAGCCAGGGCTCCTTTCCAAAGGCTGTAAGGAGAAGTGATCAGCATCCAAGTGGAGGCAGGCGGCTCCAGCATCAGGTCCTGGAGATGGGATAGGAGCAAGTCCCAGAGGCCTTACCCCTGTTGCTGTCAGGACACAATGACAGGTCAGGCTTTTACGATGTGGGTGCAGAGCTGGAGTTGAGGGAGATGGAGGGGAGCCTTCCTCTTCAGCTGCAGGAAACCACTCTGGTGCCTGCAAAAGCAGGGGGTGTCCCCTTATTGCTTAGGCCAAGGCTGGTGCTCTTCTCCTGAGCAGGCTTTGTCCACACCAGCACGGTCAACACCGACAGCAGGGAGCAGAGACACGAACGATGGCCATGACCCTGTGGAGATTCCATGCTGGGGCTATGTATAGGAGGCTGGGCAGGAGCTGGCATCTCCAGGGAGGAGCATCTGCAACTCAGCTGCCTTTCTTCCTCTGCGCACTCACATTGCATATGCTCTGCCACAGCCCCTGTAGATTAAACCCACTCCTTACGTGGCTCCCGTCTCTAGACTTGAAGGTGTCACCATCCCAGTGTCTCCACAATGGTGCCATCACGGCCCACACGTTCTCATCTGTACTCCACATGGGCTTGGGCAATGCTCAGTGTTCAACAGATGCTGCAGGGGATGAACCTGCCACCTCCCTCTGTCCCACAAGGCCTCATCCATAGCATCTCCCCCACCTGCTGGGAAGAAAGGGGAGCTGGTACCCCACAACCACCCCAACCAGCATCCCTCAGCAAGTTCATAGCTGTCACCAGGCAAAGGGGACAGGATGAGGGGCAGATCGGCTCATCCCCTGCTCTTGTGATGGAGTTTGGTGGAAGAATCATCCTCTTCCATCACCTGGCTCGGCAAGAGCACCGAGAGGCACCGCGTGTGCCTGGAGCCAGCAGCCACGCTCGCACGTGGGCAGAGAGGAGGAGGTTGTGCCCACACTCATGCACCACATGGATGCACTTAAAAAAGAGAGGGAATTGTGAGTGTGGGAAGGGGTTTTCCTGAGACGGCAGAGAAGCGAAGGCCGCGTTGAACAGTCAGGGACAGCGCTGGTGTCGGAGCAGTCCTGCCTTAAGGCTGCAAGTGTTCCAGGTACTGCGGCAGGGGGTTCTCCTTGACGTACTTCTGAATGTACCAGCACGTCAGGTGAGCTTTCAGGTCCTCCTCCACCACGAAGTCCAGGGCTGCCTGCAAGCAGTCAGAGAGGACACAAGGTTTACAACCAGCACCCTCAGCTCTATGCTCTCCTCTGAAGGCTCACAGGGGTCCGGACTCCTGCACCCCACATGCGACTGAGGGAGCAGGAGGTTGCCCTCATGTATCCCCTGTATGAGGCAGATGGAGGGAGAGGATGGGAGCAGAGCACAGTTATCCTGCCACAGCCTCCGTGGTACCACTAGGTCCCCAGTTTAACAAGAGATGTGCAGGGACCCCCTGGGTAACCCTCAATGCATCCAGCCTGGTGGATGGCTGGCACTGCAGGTGACCCAGCCATATCTTATAAAGGCCACCTTTGTCACCCCTTTGCCTGGTTTATGGGGCCAGGGAGTAGCTGTAACCCCAAAGCATCACCCCATAGTCCCCACCACCACTGTGCTTGTGGCTCCTCAGCTCTCCCTGCAAGGCTCCAGGCTTCAAGGGCCGGAAAGGGGCTTACAGGGACCTTGAAGCTTTGAGATGAGGGGACCCAGCCCCCAGGAGAGGGGCTGCATCAAAGTGGGTGTGAGGGCTGTTTGCTGCAAGGAGGAAAAGCAGAGCCTGGCTGAGCAGCTGGACATGCTGACACCCACCCAGTCCCTCTCACCACCAGAAATAGGAATGCCTGACCACAGATTCCCATCTGCCCCGCCAGCCGCCCCATCTCCCATTGGATCAGAGTCAGTTCCCAGGGGGCATGCATTCAATTCCAATGGGATGGGATGGGGCTTCAGGCTTTCTAGCCATGGCTTCTGCCCTTTTGGGTGGCCGGGGCTGTACCTTGGCGAGGTGCTTGGCTATTCCTCTCCCTCGATAGGCATCTGGGACTTCCGTGTGCTGCAAGTCCACGATCCGCTTCCCCACGTATTCATAGAGCAGCACTGCCTTGTCGTGGCAACCTGGGGGTGTGAGAGAGAGGGATGAGGCTTGGGATGTCCCTGGGGAGCCCCGGGCTCCTGGTCCACCAGGATGGAGCCCACAGCAGGGGATGAGCAGCTTTGGGACTGATACAACAGCCCTTGTGCCCATGGGAATGGCTGTGGTGCTGTGGGGGACACTTTGCTTTTGGTGCCACTTGGACAGCCAATTCCCTTCTCTCCACAGCACAGTGTTTGTGTCATGGCATGAAACAGGACAAGACTTCCCAGCCCGGACCTGCAGCATCCAGACAGAGACATTTTGGGAGAGGTGAATCCCATAAACACACCAGAAAGCTCCCATAGGCACGCGAGGGGGTTTGTGCACGCACATTTACATGCACACACACACACACAGAGGCTTCCTGTTACAACACCCTGACCTTTCTCACAGCAGCTCAGTTACAGGAAAAAAGACATTTCAGCACATGTGTAAACCAGAGGAGAGCTAAAAAACACCCTCTGGCTTCATCTGCAGAGCCTGAGCTTGGCCTTCAATGCAAAAGCAAACACTTGAGGTCTAGAGGGCAGCTGCGTTTAAAAGCCAGTTTCAGATAGGCAAGTTTCCAATCTAAGACACAAGCTCAGTTCAAAGAATGGGAACCTTTCCTTTCCCTCCACTAAGGGCCACAAGTTTCCCCTGCATTTACTCACTATATGCTCTCACTGAGCTCAATGCTCTGTATTTCAATTGCATTTCAGCCGACAGCTCCACCCCATCCCTGTATTTGCGAGGCACCAGGAATGAGCCCATTTGAATTGTGTTTCGAGAGAAGCAGCTCAGGTTTTTTTGGTTCCTGCTCCTTTTAGGCAGCGATTCAATCCCCCTGCGTTGGATGGAAAACTTTGCATTTCCAGCCCGAGTTTATTCCTGCTGCTTTCTACCCGCTCTTCCTTGTGCCAACATTGTTCTGGGATGGACATAAATAATTCCCCTCCCTGCTGTTCCCCTGGGTATTTCCAGGCACCAGTCCTGCCCCTCTCAGCCTCTACATCACCATAAAGCCAAGCCCCTTTAGTCTCCCTATAGATGCCAGATGCCCCACTCTGTCTTAGGACAGAGGGTTTTGGGGTAAAGCACTGGGATGGGCAGAGATAACAGAGTGGGGAAGGGGCTGAAGGGGTGCTTGCCTCTTCCCTGTTACTAAGCCCAATGCAGATGAGATCCTATAGCCCCATTTTACAGCGGCAAATCTGCGTGGGGAATAAAGGGAGAACCAATGGATCCAGGGCACCCGAGAAGAGCCAAGGGAGCAACTGCAAGCCCAGCTCTTCCCCAGCAGCACAGACCGGTCTCACTGGAGGGACAGCCCCAGGTCGGGGCACAGGCAAAGCCTCCTGTCAGACGTGCCACGGTGAGTGGCAGCTCCCTTAGAGGCACCTCTCAGAGGTGGTTTTGGCAGAGCTGGCAGCACTGAAGGCTGTAAAATGCTCTGACAAGGGCGGCTTTCACATGCTCCAGCCCTTCCACTCTGCTCTGCGCTGCTCCTGGGGCAGAAGTTGCCATAGGCTCTGCCTGAAGCTCTGATAAGTTTGGAACTAAATTCTCCGGGTGATGAGAGAGCAAAAAGCATCTTCTTCTTCATATACTTCTTTATATATGATCTGTTTAGAATGATCACACACACAAAGGCATTCAAAACAGAAGATGATGCAGTGCTTGGAAGACCTTGGATTTGCCCTGGACAGACCTTCCCTCCTGTCTGCTGGACCACAGAAGCATCACAAGCCCCCAGCCAACAAGATGCCCCCAGTGTACAGGTGAACACACACACAGAGCCCAAAGGACTTTACAGCTGGCTTGACAGAGCAAACCAGCACTGCCAATGCTGTGGGAAACTGGTCCCAGTGCAGAACATCCCAGTTCAGTACTCAAACACATCTGGATGTGCTCACCTTGGTAATGGGACCCTGAGCCACACAGCACATGAAATCAGGGATGCTTAGGACACAGGGTTTGGTGAGGAGCCTGTAGGTGACACTGACAGCCTGGGAGGAGATTGCTGCTGGCTGTGCAGTCTCCCAGTCCCTCACCTCCAGCTCCCTGCTGTGGGTGATGCAGAACCACAACTGCAGGAGGAGCTGATGGGGAGGACAGCCAGGGGTGAGTGGTTATGCTCAAAGGTCACCGCAAACACCCCCTGCAAGCCCTCTCTGGGCAGGAACAAACCTGAACGCTGGGCACAGCTGGATACACACATCTGGAGGTGGGAGAAAGCCCTGATAACAAAGGAGACACAAGCCGGGATCCAAAAGGAGATGGAGATCCCGCTTCCTCTGCTGAGCAAGGCTGAAGGTTGCCAATGGCTCACAAAGGGAAGGGAAGGACCAGCCAACGGGAAGCCCATTTCCTTCAAGAGCAGCTGCTCTGAACACGTTCTCTGCACCGTTCCCACTGGGACCCAGAGCCCCTGGGAGAAGCAGGGTGAAGCAGGCTGTACCCCAAATCTGGGCTGTTCTAGCTCTCCAATGAGCCAGACATAACCCTTGTTTTCCCACTAACAGACTTCCCTGGGGCTGGAGGGAAGAGAGGAAGGAGCAGAAGCACCTTGCTGCAATACAACGCTGGAAGAACCCAGCCTTGCTGCTATGTGGCACCTTGGACATGGGGAATGTTCCCAGCAAAGCTGGGGGAGCTGGAAGCAGGAGCAGCCCAACCCCAGCTTATTGCAATCCCAAAGAGGGGGCACACAGAAACCACACCAAAACACGGCATAACTGGGATGCCACGAGCCAGCCTCCCACCTGCCTGTCTTATCCCATGGACCTCGGAGCAGGGATTTTATCAGCCTGGGGAGATAGAGCCTGGCAAAACAGACTCAGGTCTTAACCCTTGAGCCTCATCGCGCTGGGTGAGATGTTGGACTCGCAGACACTCCCCTGCACAGCGCCTCAGCTTCAAGGAAGTCTGAGTCAATGCAAATCAGCACAGCAAGAAAGAGGAGCAAGAGATGGAAGCGGCAGCAGGGCTGGTCCTCAGCCTGCCCTCCTTCAACCACGGGCTGCATGGGGAAAGGGAAGCTTTCTTTAAAGGGGGGCAAGGGACAACTTGCTCTCCATTGGGATCAATGGGACAGAACTTCCACCCAAGCAGGGCGGATGGCTTTGGGCAGCACTGACAGACACCAGTCACCAGGCTGGGTGGCTCATGAGCCTCAGGGGAACAAGCAGTGAGCCCAGCCCCAGCTGGGCACGGCATCATCCAGAAAGACACAGACATCCCACTCCAGCAAACCCTTCACTGATCCCTCTCCCACTGTCTTCTCCCTGTCCTTCTATGTTGGCCCCAGCCCAAATACACCATTGCGAGCCCAGGGAGCTCATGGTTGAGCAGTTGCCAGCCTTTGGAGGCAGCCCCTGAGCTCCAGCCTCCTTATAGCACTGCTGCGAAGCCATTCCTGGACAACAATGGGGAGAAGGGAACAGACACCAGCCCCGTTTCCCACTCTCAGACCTAAGAAAACCCATAGGCAGGCAGCAGCTCAGCTCCTCTGGCTGCGGAGCCCAAAGGAGGATGCTGAAAGCTGCACGTGAGGCGATCCAAGAGGACAAGATGTCCCAGGGAGCTCGCGCATCCCAGGCTGGAGCTCGCTGCACACTGTCAGCTGGCCTTGATCCCCAGGGAGCCAGGGGCACGTTACTAGGGAGAGAAAACACAACAGAGTACAACAGACAGAGCCGAGTGGAGATGGTGCAGCCCATGGAGGGGCCTCACTCACAGGAGCAGCACTGGGGGGGGGGAATCCTGGTTTGAAGCAGTTTCCTGGTTAGGAGCTTTCTTGAGGTGACTGCAGCACAGGAGGAATGGGGATGGCACAGAAACAGAGTGGTTTGGAAGGGACCTTAAAGCTCACTCAGTTCCAACCCCTGCCACAGGCAGGGACACCTTCCACTAGAGCAGCTTGCTCCAACCTGGCCTTGAACACTGCCAGGGATGGGGCAGCCACAGCTTCTCTGGGCACCCTGTGCCAGCGCCTCAGCACCCTCACAGGGAAGAGCTTCTGCCTAAGAGCTCATCTCAGTCTCCCCTCTGGCAGGTTAAAGCCATTCCCCTTGGCCTGTCCCTACAGGCCCTTGTCCAAAGCCCCTCTCCAGGTTTCCTGTAGGCCCCCTTTAGGGGGTGCCTGTCTTGATGCAGTGACCGGATCCCTTCATCCCCACTGCAAACTCAGCAGTTGCCCCTCCAGGAGGTGCAGTTGCCCCAGTGGTGAGTGAGGAAAGCACCAAGGCACAACCGGCTCCAGTTTTCCTTATAAATACAAGCCTGGACTCCCGACAATGAGCTCCGAAGACTCAGCTCTGCAGCGGGCAAAGCAGGAGCTTCCGGCCACTGGATCCTGCCCAAACCCGGCTGGGGAAGAGCAGGAGGTTTGGGAAGTGTGGCTTGCTGCACCCACGGGTTGGATGAGCAGGAGTGTGGGTATCCAAGGAGCCCACGCATCCCTTTGGATCTGGAGCCGCTTGGTGCATGCGGTGAGCCCATCTCCCCACCGGAGAGCCTGATGTGTTTGATGGGTAGCAAGGCAGGTCCCCTGCCCCAAGGCAGCTGTGCCAGCAGCTGGAATGACCGACTCCTTCAGGGCGAGGTCTCTTTGGGTTTCTTGTTTTGACCAGAAATGCTAGCTTGGATCTCAAAAATCCCCAACTATTCCTGACTAAACCAGCCTGTCCGATTCCCATGGAAGTTCTCAGCTTTGTCAAACTGATGTTTTCCAACACAGTTGCTAACACGGGGAGGTTTCTGGCTCGCTCGTGCTGTTAGTCACATCTCAAGCGATTACAAATCCAGTTGGGCTTCTTCCTACCCTCCCCTCAGAGGGATAACCAAGCTCGGTGAGGTCTGGTTGTAATCAGCTTTACTTCCAGCTTCCCAATGCATTTGGGATGCAAGGAGAAAGGGGATGTGTTAAAGCGAAGCAGCTGCTTCCATCAGAGCTTTAGGAGCCATGTGCAGCAGTGAGGTGAGAAGGGGAAGCAAGAGCAGAGAAGGGAAAGCCAGGGCAACCCAGAAAACACCAAATGCAATTCATCTTTCATGTGTCCAAGGAGGAAGTTGACACATGAGGTTACCCTCCCATGAGGTTACCCGGGGGTGCAGAGGCAAACACAGGATGATGCTGAAAACCAGCACTTTCACAACCACTTCACAGCTTTCACAGTGTCTCAGGCCTCTTGTACAGGGATTTCCATTAGAAGATCACCACGGAAAGTGGTGATATTTTAATATATACTATATTATATATACTAATACATAGTATATTATATATACTGCACTGTATATACTAATACTATATTATATATACTAATAGGTAATATATATATTATGTGTGATATATACTAACACTATATACTATGATATATACTATACATTAGGTACTATAATGCATACTATACACTACCCAACATCACAGTACCGTAAGCCACCCACCCCTCAGAACAGAGACCAGCGAAGCCTGGCTCCTTGCTCCACGAGCCTCATGCACCAGAGCATCACCCACACTCAGCGTCTACCTAAGATAAGGACCAAGACAGCAGATACAAGCTGATCCCGGAGCCCACAGCTAACTACGAGTTCACGCCAGAGGCTGCAGTTCATCCCTGCCACGCTCCCTTTCAGGGGGACACGCAGGGCCCCTCGGCACTAAAACCTGACCCGTTTCTTGTCATTCCCTTGAGTGCAGCGTGGAAAACCAGCTGGAACATTCGGCACCACTGATGCTCATCGTGCCAGCAGCGATGAAGAGAGCAGCACAGGAAATAAACACCCTGCCAGGCACTCCCCCAGAGATGGTTATCGCCTGAGCACCTTCCAGGGCTTGCCTGTCATCAGCACATGCCTAAGAAGGAGGAGGGACGGATCACCCGCTCCGCGTGGATGTCAGTCAGCCCGGTAGCAGGAATACCGTCACGCCAGGACGCGGCTCAGCTTCCTTGTGTGGCCGGCACTGAACTCCCAGAGAAACAACCCTGATCTGGCGGATCCACAGACAACACTGAGGCTTCCCAAGCCGCGGTCATCCCCTTCTGGAGCTGTTTGTGCCGATTCCCACATGACTCCCACTGCGGATCCTCTCAAAGTTCCCCTTCTCCAGACCCAACTCATCCCACAGTGTGGCCAGCTGAGGTTTTCTATGGCGAACCACGATAAGGAGATCACGCTTCCCTAAGGAAACGCTCTCTTTGTGCGCACACAAACTTCACCGAGGGCGACGACACTGCGTCACAGCTCTTGTAATGGCAACAGGGGACCTTGTTTGATCTCCTTCTGTTTGAAACAAGCAGTTGGAGCGGTTGTTTTCCCCGCACCCATCACACACGTCTCCTCCTTCCTCGCTCCTCCACTGCTGAGCCTCCAGCCTGCACTTTGTAATTAGTGGTTGAAATGAAAATGGGATGGGGGGGGGGAGGAAGAGCCTAAAATAAACCCCAGCCTATTCCTGTTGTTTCATTGGGAATGCTCCTACAGCCGGTGTCATTCTGAGCTACCCAGCTATTTTTTAGGAGACAACTACCCTGCAATTTCTGCAGGGCAGCGAGGCAGCCTGTTTTATCCAGAGTAGCTCTCAGCACGACAGATGGGCAGCGAAAAGAGGTTGGGATGGTGGAATATTTGGGATTAACCATTAAGAGGATGGCTACAAAAGAATCAGCGTGCCATAGAAAAACTGATGTGTTACCTACTGCTTTTGCTCAGTCCACCCTACACATGGCAGAGCTGTTGCGGGGGGTCACCCCATCATTAGGGGTCCCCAGCCCTGGTCCTACTTGTGGCTTGATGCTTGTGGCTATGGTGCTGTGGGTCCTGCTGAACCCACAGTGCTGGGCCCCCTAAGCCCCCAAGGGCTTCTCTACAGGGATCCCACCGAGCAGCTCACACACACAGAGGCACATCCCCAACACCGACCAAAGCCCCTTGCTCCTGGTGGGGGCAAGCTGGTGCCCCCCAAACCGACCTGTGCCAACGTGGGGCTCCTCACACCAACCAAGAGAGCCCCAGACCCCACGGGTTGGGAACGATGCAGGGGATATCAGGAACCGGGGGCACGGAAGAGCATCGCGAGGGGGACACAGAGGGACGGAGAGCGGGTGGCAGGGTGGAGTGTTCGGGGGATAGAGAAAAGGGGGAGCCAACAGGGGTAAGAAGGGCGGATTAGGACCCCCAGGGGGTACAACCCGGGTCGGAGCGGGGTCGGTAACCCCCCAGCGAGCCCCGCTCCTTACCGTTGAGCCGCACGGTGAACTGCCGCCGCTTGCGATCGTGCTCCACCTGGATGGGGCAGCCCTGCTCCAGGAGGCCGAGCGGCGCCGAGTGCGCCATGGCCGGGTTGGGTTGGGTTAGGCTGGGCCGGGGCTCCGTTAATGCCGAACGCGGCACAGGAGCACCGGGTCCCGGTACCGGTAACGCGAGCACCGGAGCGGGGTCGGGTCAAGCCGGGCCGGGCCGGGCCGCGCCGCCGCGGGGCTGGCACCGGCGCGCGGCCGCAGGAAACCAGCTGTGCGCCACGTGCCCGCGGCCCAGCCAATGGCCGCGCCGCCGTTTTGTTTTGGTACAGCCGTCCGGCTCTTAAAGGGACAGCGCACCCTTAAAGGGAGCACCCGCGGGGCACGGCGCCCCCCCGCGGGAGGGCACGGGAGTGGCCCCCCCAAATGTGGCCCCGCTGCACAGCACTGGGTGCTTTGAACTGGCTTGTTGGTGCTGTACTGTGGCCCAGCACCAGGTATTGCCCCACTGTGCCGTCTGCCAGGGGAACCCCGGCCTTGTACTGGGTTCTCTGAGCCGGTGGAGTGGTGTTGTGCTGCTGCTGGACTGGTGTACTGGTTCCGTGCCGGTGTACTGGTGCTGGACTGGTGCACCGGTCTTGTCCCAGTGTGTTGGTGCTGTGCTGTTCTGGATTGGTGCTCCAGTCCTGTCCCAGTGTATTGGTGCTGTGCTGTTCTGGATTGGTGCACTGGTCCTGTCCCAGTGCATTGGAGCTGTGCTGTTCTGGATTGGTGCTCCGGTCCTGTCCCAGTGTGTTGGTGCTGTGCTGTTCTGGATTGGTGCACTGGCCCTGCCCCAGTGTATTGGTGCTGTGCTGTTCTGGATTGGTGCTCCGGTCCTGTCCCAGTGTATTGGTGCTGTGCTGTTCTGGATTGGTGCACTGGCCCTGCCCCAGTGTATTGGTGCTGTGCTGTTCTGGATTGGTGCACTGGTCCTGTCCCAGTGCATTGGAGCTGTGCTGTTCTGGATTGGTGCTCCGGTCCTGTCCCAGTGTGTTGGTGCTGTGCTGTTCTGGATTGGTGCACTGGTCCTGTCCCAGTGTATTGGTGCTGTGCTGTTCTGGATTGGTGCACTGGCCCTGCCCCAGTGTATTGGTGCTGTGCTGTTCTGGATTGGTGCTCCGGTCCTGTCCCAGTGTGTTGGTGCTGTGCTGTTCTGGATTGGTGCACTGGCCCTGCCCCAGTGTATTGGTGCTGTGCTGTTCTGGATTGGTGCTCCGGTCCTGTCCCAGTGTATTGGTGCTGTGCTGTTCTGGATTGGTGCACTGGTCCTGTCCCAGTGTATTGGAGCTGTGCTGTTCTGGATTGGTGCTCCGGTCCTGTCCCAGTGTATTGGTGCTGTGCTGTTCTGGATTGGTGCACTGGTCCTGTCCCAGTGTATTGGAGCTGTGCTGTTCTGGATTGGTGCTCCGGTCCTGTCCCAGTGTATTGGTGCTGTGCTGTTCTGGATTGGTGCGCTGGTCCTGTCCCAGTGTATTGGTGCTGTGCTGTTCTGGATTGGTGCTCCGGTCCTGTCCCAGTGTATTGGTGCTGTGCTGTTCTGGATTGGTGCACTGGTCCTGTCCCAGTGCATTGGAGCTGTGCTGTTCTGGATTGGTGCTCCAGTCCTGTCCCAGTGTATTGGTGCTGTGCTGTTCTGGATTGGTGCACTGGTCCTGGCCCCAGTGTACTGGTGATGCGCTGTTGCTGCCCTGCTCTACTGGTATTGAACAGGACTGGTGCTGTGCCGGTGCCATAATGACTGCTTCTGGGGCAGTTGCACTGAGTGCACCCACAAAACCAGAAGCACTTGAGCACCTTCAGGGGGGATTTAGGCTGGATATAAGGAAGCTCTTCCCTGTGAGGGTGCTGAGGCGCTGGCACAGGGTGCCCAGAGAAGCTGTGGCTGCCCCATCCCTGGCAGTGCTCAAGGCCAGGTTGGACACAGGGCTTGGAGCAAGCTGCTCTAGTGGAAGGGGTGCCTGCTTGGAGCTGGATGAGCTTTAAGGTCCCTTCAACCGAAACCATTCTGTGCTTCCACACATGACACCATGCACCTCAGGGCCTTGATAACCCCGGTGTAGCCAAAATGTACAAACTGGGAGAGGAAATAGAGGTGTTTGTCTCCATACCCATGGACCTGCAGCACCAACACCTCCATGGACGTGAACTGAAAGCTCCAGAGGTGGGAGCTGAGCCTGGCCGAGGTGTCTGCCCACTGCCTGCCTGTACAAAAGGGAAAGCAGCAACACCTGGAATGAATCTGGAACCAGTAATAGTCCACCAGCAGCTACTCCACACCTAAATACCACCCCATGTAGCTTGGCCTTTGTTTCCTCATCCCTTTGGCTCCTGATGCCTGAGTTGGAGCCCATCATCAGGGCACTCCATTTGTGCTGCTCCATCAGTGGGTGCTGAGTGCAGGTGCTGTGCCCCTCTCCTTCTCCCATCGAGCCCCCACAGAAATGGGTGTCTGGAGAGAGGCTTCCTCCTCTTCCTCCTCTGTGAAAGGCTGGAAAACACCAGTGGTGAGATGCCATCCCTGGCTGCCTTCACTCCGCCTGTGTTCCCACACCATATGGCGGTGCAGGAAGATAAAAATGGGAAAACACCCGGAGCAGGGAATGCAGGGGGAGGCAAACAAGGCTGCAAACAGCCAGGCCAAGCACAGCTTTGATTTTGCAAGGGGGGAGCCTGGGGCAGGCAGAGGGGCCGAATCCTGCATCCTGATGCCCTCCAGTGCACAGGGATGCTCAGGACAAAGTCACTTCACGGGGAAGGCTGAGGAGAGGGGAAAGGAGAAGCAGGTTTTGCACAGACAAAGGCAAGGGGCTCCTGGTTGGTTCTCAGTGATGTACCCACTGTGCTGGGGACACCTTCTTTGGATGCATTTCCACATGCACCTTTCCCTGTGATTTCCACATTGCACTGCCTTTGCCTGTGGCGATTCCCTCTGCCTCAAGCCAGCAGTTACAGCATCTTTCAGATGCATCTCTCCCGCACAGTCTATGGGGTCCATGCTGGCAGGCACTGGAGGTTGCAGAAGAGAGGCGCTCCCCATGCCCGGCTATAGACGAGGAGGTGACCCTATGCTGCCTCTGGTCCCTTCCTTGCAGCCTGTGGGGGTCCATGTGCTCCATCCCCACCCTTCCCACCCTGCTGGACTTTGATGCTGAGCATACCCCATTCTCCATTCGGACTCCTGCAGCCCTGGAAGGCCTCAGAATAGATGACAAAGCCCCACTTGTGAAGTGCCTGGTGATTCAAGGTGGGTCAATAAACACCAGGTGGGTGTTTCATCCACCCTATAATTGCAGCTGGGGCCAGCAGCCATCTCCAGCTGTGCCTGGGGGTGCAGGTGAAGGGATGCTGTAGTATGCGATGGAGACAGCAGGGTCATGTCCTGCGCTCCCAGGTGCCACCAGCACCTGTGCCCAAGCCGGTCCCACCACTCCTTGCAGGTCTGCATCCAGCAAAGATGCCAGCTATGCTCTGCTCTCCCTAAACCTCCCACCCTAACACTGCCAAACCCCATTCGGATCAGCTCAGTTGGAGCTCAGCCCTCATTGTTGGCTCTGATTTATGCAGCTAAATACCAGCAGGGCCCAGCCTGCTCCCATCTCCTGCTGGCCCAGCCCAGGTAGCAACGTCTGCAGCTCTTGCATCAGGGGTAATTACCCTGCGGTTGCACTGGAGTGGGGTTTTTGAGAAAGACTCCTCACCTGTGTTGAAAGGGGGTGAATCTGCTCTGTCTCAGGCAGGTAATTGCTCTCCCTATTAAACCCTGTCATTTACTTCCCATTTGACCTTTTCTAGGTTCAGTTTGAAGCTGACAGATCTTCTGCCGGATTACAGGTCCATTTGAGGCACCGATCCCATTTCACCCAGCTCCTGCCACGATTCCCTTGTGTTCTCCGCTTTTCCAGTGCTGGAACTCATCCAGAACACTGCAAAACATGAAGCTGGGAATGGCTGTGACAGACCTGCTGTGATTTCCCCAGGGCTGTCTGCAGTTCCCACCCCTCCTTTGTGTCTGAACGGTTCACGCTTGGAATTTCAGCCAGAAAATGGCACTTGTAATCTCATTTTTCCTTGCTTAACTGCACCACTCATGTTCTGTCCACCAGCTCGGGTGTTTGGGGAGCATCCTGTGCCGTGGCACACTGCTGGGCTGACTCGTAGAGGAATAAAGGCCCATCAGGTTGTCACCCAGCCCCATGGAAGATGTGATGAGCTTGGCCAGTCTCAGCTGCACAGCATCACCCCCATCACGCTCTGTATCCCTGTGCCAACACAGGGGTCCCTTGGGCGTGCTGCCGGTAGGGCAGCCCCCCAAACTCCGCCTCTTCCCTGCGGGGTCTGGGGGAACAGAGCAGCACCACTCTCCCGCCCGCCCGCTCCACTTCACCCTCACAACCACGTCTGAGAACCGCAAAGCTCTTTCCGCGGAGGCCGGGTAACCACGCCTCCTTCCCCACCGCGGACCAATCGCGACGCTGAGGGGCGGAGCCTACAGGCCGCAGCGTGGCTCCGCCCCGGCGCTGTTTTCCGGCGGCCGCCGTGCTGGGCCGCACTCACCGGGTGCGCGCTGGGCCCGGGGCCTCGGCGCCGCCGCCATGTCGCTGCCCAGAGGTAGGAACCGGAACCGGGGCCGGGGGCGGCGGTGGTTGCTCCGCGGGGCTCGGGGACGAGTGTTGTGCGGGGGGGGGGGGGGAGCGGGATTACAGCCGTGTTGAACCGGGTCTGGCGTAACCTGCTGCTGTTGCCCAACCCGGCGGCCGCGGCTTCCTCTATGGGGACACTGCATCCCTCGGCCTGAGGGCCGCTGCGGCGGGGGCAGAGGCGCGGAGCCCGGGTGTGTGGTGTGTGCTGCGGGCGGGGGAGCCAACGAGGCGGGTTGAAGCTCCTATGGAGGACGTGAGTTGCATCCCCCGCTGCCGGAGCCTTTCCCGTTCCGGGAGCCCGCGAGTGTCGTCGGTGTCATGGGAGGATGAGCAGAGCCTTCGTCGTAGCGTGGTGAAGCGGGAAGGATGGGATGAGGATCCCGGTCCTTGTGCCCCGGTGGCAGGGCCCCGCTGCCGGCGTGCGCTGGGGATGCCGTGGTGGAGTTTCCCATCGCGGCCGGGAGAACGTGACCGTGTGTCACGG